GGACAATTTTCTTTCTACTTCTTAAAGCGGCTTTTTAATACAAAAATTAAAAAATTTGTACTAAAAAACTGATTTAAGAAGCAATAAGAAAGTCGTCTGAGACGAAGTCTTAGTTTTAAATATTATGGCTGGGGATGGTTTTAATGCTTCAGTGTCTTGCATATCAGACATGCAGGCCTGCAATTTTTCCTCCTCTCAGGGATTTATATAAGGGAAATATTGTTGATGATGTGAAAGGTATATGACTACTGTTTGGTTCTTCTATGATAATATTATGGCTCTACATACTAATATTGCTGATACCTGGAATCACTCTCTTTCTGTCTATTTCTTTGTCAATGATAACCTTTTGTGTAAAACATATTCAGAAAATATAACTTGCCGGCTTTTAAGGTTGTTCAATCTTTACCAGAATAATTTAATTTGTTCTAGCAGACATTGCAAGGTTTGTTGATAGGTTTCATTCTTATTGTCCTTTCTTTTTCATGAAGGTCACAGTACATTGAGACACGTTGAGGATTCCTTTGTTGCAAAAATTGCTACGTTTAGGTCCGAAATTTCTGGTCAGAGAAACCAAAGCTCTATTTGTCAGCTTTTAATTTCTTTCTTTGACAAGGTAATTCTCCAAGCAGTATGTTGGTACTTGATTATATTATTTGGAATGTGTTTTTGAAATACATCGCTGTCCATACCTCAAGAGTACTCAGAATAGTTTAGTGAACTAAATTGGTATTTAGTACTGAACTCCCCAAATGCTGTTAACTAGTTATGCATACATATAAGTGCATAAATTTCTTATAATAATATTCATTAGCCTCTCCAAAGAGGAAGAGGGTATATAAATAGTTGAGGTTTACAATGAAGAAATAAAAGACACATGCCCCTCAGGGTCACAAGCAACTATTCTCTCAAGTGAGGGTAATAGCAGAAAAATGCATAAATAAATTAAATACATATGATAACTTAAAAATAAATCGGTGTGATCGTGGCCGTATATTGTCGGCCTCGTCTCTGGTAAAACCTTCCAAGGCCAGATGTCCTCATCAAAACCAGTCTGATTTTTATTTTGGCGTTGATGTAGAAGGAATTTTATTTTTATTAGTCTTATTTTTATTTATATAATTAAGTTAACAATTGGCTAGCATGCCAAACCTCTCAGTCAAGTCTTTTTGCCATATATTAGGGTTATTTTAGCCTTTAAACCCTCAGCCTTAACTCCTACCTTTCTTTGTGACACCATATCAGCCCTTTCTTATATTTGTCCAACAAAAATTCCTAGAAGTTATAAACATCTAGGATAATGCCAAGGACCGACCTAAACCAGGATCATAGCATGGTGAGCCTTTCCTACTGGGAGGAAATTCTAAAACAAGATAAACATCTAAGGAGTTGGAAAGTTTCAATGTGAAGTGCCAGTTCTGAGATTTTGAAACAAACATTAAAAAAAAATGCTACTGTTCAACTTGGCAAGATTTTGACTACTTTCTGGTGAAAGCAAAGAGCATGTCTGATATTGTTTTTTCAATGCATTTGTTGAATGAGGATTTCACAACTATAACTGTAAAGTCTTGTTACTATCATTTTTGTTATGATTGACAAATGATGATTTACTTGTACGCTTTATATTTATTATTTTCACAAGATGACAGTGATGGTATTTTTCACTCGTAGTTTTCTGCACTTGGTACTATGGCCTCGAATCATGCCATCTCAACTTACAGAGGAGAGTGGAAACCAATTTACAGCAATCGCAGATTTTTACGGAAAGCACAAGTCCTTCGTGTATGTACTGTCAATAAGCCTATCCCATTTTGTCCCAAATATTCAAATTTTCCGTTAAGGTTACATTTGACCGTTACAATAATTTGCTTATTTAGATTGAAGATCCTTTTGAGCAAACTGAAAATGCTGCTAGAGCTGTTGACACCGAAGGGCTTGCTATGATATCACAGACATTCTCAGACATGCACAGGAAGCTTTCATCGCGCTCTGCACCCTTGGATCGGACATTATTGCTTGACAATCTTGTAAGACCTGAAATCAAATCAGATCTTGAGCATCGAAGAGAGCCAATGAACCCAAGATGAGTTCCTTCCATCTGTGAATCGGACGCAGCAGCCTCAGGATTGTTCGGCAAAGCCAGAGAGTAGTCAATACCGTTTTGTTTGAAGATAGGATGAGAACCATCAATCACCAAGGTCATGCAATGGTAAGTTAGCTGTGATACTATGACAAATTTGGTATGTTGGATGATGTTTGGAATGTGATCACCAAAACTTTTCTGCTTTAATGGTTTTGGAAGATATTTGAACTGCCCTGTTTGTATCTAATCGGCTGATTTTCATAATTACAGACAGCTTAAATTTATGCTTTGGTTTGTTTAGTTACCTGCAGATAGAAAATATGTTATGAAATTTTTTTTTTTCATTTATTTTATATAGAAATTTGAAATTTTTATATTTGGAAGTGTTAAGAGAGCTTATGGAGTTTAAATTTAATATTGATATTTTGAATTTTTAATAATATTTAAATAAATTTAGCATCTTTGTGTTAAGAATGGAATTATTAAATGTTAAAAAGGATTAGCAAATGCAAAGATCTGTTTAATTTCGTTGTTCTTACTATTGCTTCCAGTCCAATATTTCTGTATTGATTGACTTTAGTTACCGTTAAAGTTTAACGATTCAATCGAGAAAATTTTAAAATATTATGTTCAAAATATTCTAATTCAAATTTAATTAGTGTTTAATCATTAGATTTATTTTAAAATGTGTGATATAATTTTTTATTGATTAATTATATATTATACTTGAAATGCCTTTTAAAAAAAAAAACAAAGATCTATCTCTATTTTACCTAATGGATTAATACATTTTCTCTCCTAATCAAATCATATTTTAAATAAGCAGACAAAAACCAATGTAAACATAAAGAACAGAATACTGTAATCATATGCAGGCCATGATCAACTGTGGGAATTAAGGTGAAAAACTTGGCAGTTTGACCGATAGGATCTCTTGTTGGCAGCCTGCTCGAACTTTCTAGAAGCTGACTGGTTCTCTTCCAAGCCTGTTTGGATGAAATATCTTATCCACCAAGAATATTTAACTCCGTAACTTTGCCTGGAATTAGATGATTCAAAAAAGAAAAAGAAAAAAAATCAAATGTCTCACACTGCAGAGCGAGAACTATCGTATAGTATATCGTCAATTGTGGATATTCAGAAGGTCGAAGGAAGATTTTTTGCAGAGAAAGGCCAGAGATGCGATGTTAAGGCAAGATACCAATAAACAAAATTTATTTTTTTTTCAATTAAAAAAAAAAAAACAAAGGCTGGAGTAGCGCTAGTGAAAGGTAAGATTAGAGAAAATCGTCTTAAATGGTTTGGTCACATAAAACGGTGGCCTTCCGATGACCCAGTTAGAAAATTAGAGGTATTTGATTTAATTTATATTAAGAAATATAGAGGTTGACCTAAAAGACTTGATTAGAAAATATTAGAAATTATCTTTTTTTAATAGATTTAAATGAGAATTTGACTTTTAATATGACACAATGGAGAAAAAATGATTCATGTAGCCGATCCCATGTAATGAGACAAAGACTTGATGTTGTTGTTGTATGACTTTAACGGCATAAAGCCATAAACTGCTGAAAACTAATAACATAGACTGCTGAAAACTGATAACATAAACAAAGTTAAATATATACGTACGGCAATATAATTAAAACACAAACGCTTCAGCAACAAGCATGCACAAAACTATAGCTTTGATCTGAAGCCTAAAAAGTTGGACTAGCAAATATAGCAATTCAAACATACAGTTATGCATCCACGTCAAATAGATAATTTTGACGTGGAAGCATCACCCTCTTTATCTGAATATTTCTAAAAAAATTCTTAGCAAGTGTCTTTGTGAACAACTTGGAGTCATACTATATATCATAGATATTTGGACCAATAATAAATAAAACACAAGATGAAAATTTCTCATTAAAAAGTTTATGTATACTTTCTAGTAGCAAGAACCTACATCTCAAGATATGCCAATCAATTTTATTATTAGCCATTGCATATGCTTGAGATTCAAGCTTTTTCTAAGTTAGTAATCTTGGTCGGTCCATCAATATCAAGCATTAGAAGAAGATTACCATATGAATGTAGCATGCATTCTTTAATAACTTCTCCATTCCCATAATTTTTTTTTTTTTAACGAAATTTTTTTTTTTTTAACGAAACCTGCATTATTTATCTTGTACTTTCTAACAAAGTCAAAAGCCATTTTAAATGATTTATCAATACTTCCATCATATATGATTAACATTTCATAGGTGAAGAAATGGTTGGCTGCTCCCTTTTATTATTTAAATCAAAGCTATTGGAAACACAAACCAACATGTTATGATAAAATTTATTTGTCACTTCCTCTTTATAAACATCTTGCCGGAGAATTTTTTTCATACCACAATGGTTCCATAGGCATAGCAGAGAAATTTAGTCATCCAAAATAATTTGATAATGATTTGATTGATTGTATTTTTATATTCATAATTCAATTCAAGCTCAAGTATTCTTCAAAATTTATTTATTTTGAGTTCAAGAAATCTCCAAAAAATTATTTAATTTGAGTTAAAGAAATATCTCAAATTTATTTTATTTGAACTTAGAGAAATATCAAATTATTTTATTTAGGCTTTTGATCGTCAAAATTTTGGCAGTATCCCGAAGTCTTCCCCACGTAGGGGACATCTACAGGGATTTTAGGCCACCCATCACACGCAATAAAGAGTGTATGGTAGGTGTATGTAGACACCGCGGCCGTAGTCTTCATTCCCACCACACGCAATAAAAGCGTGTATGGAGTCTTTGAATGTACATGTTTGAAAGCATAATTATTCCACCGCGTACGGATTCTTATAAGCAACCCATCCTCGTCGTAGGCGTCGCACCGGGTTTCCATCCCACCACGCGCAATAAAGGCATGTATAGGCAGTTCTCCGGTGCATCGCGAACGCCGAAGACGGGACTTGAGCTTTAAAGTTTGGCAAACAATATACCTTGACGAACGAGAGGATGACGACGGCAGAGATTTGCAGCAAGAGGCTGAAGATTTTATTTTATTTATGTTTTCTGATTTTTTATTTTTTTTTAAGTTTTTTATATATAAACAGAAAAAGAAAGGTTAAGAGAGTTTGCTATACGGTGATGAGTATTGAGATGGGTTTTGTGTGAACAGATAAGCGGTGAGGTTGGGATTGGAGGAGTACGTGGTTTGTTAGTGGAGGAAGAAGGATAGGAAGATGACGGGCTGATTTGGTACAGTTAAAGATGACTTGGTCGGCTAAGAGAGTGATTGTTTAGGCTTCAGAAAGTAGAAGAAGATTCAGGTTTGGAGAGGTTTGCGAACAGAACGATGTGAATGAGAGGAATTGAGCAACAGAGGCGTTGAGAAAACAAAGGATGAGTGCAACGTGCGATGAGGATATGAATTATGCAGGAAACGTGTTGAGTTGTAGATATTTAGCAAGACAAAGCTGGGGGAATGAAATCAGAAAATATCATATAGTTTTATAATATGATACTGTTATGAGGAGATTTATGTAAGAATAAAACTAAAGTTTATTATATAAAGGAAGAAATGTCCATAATGTGATTTGAAATAAGAAATAATATTGAATTGCTATCTTTCTTTTTTAATTTAGTATTTATAATAACAACTTCACTATTAATTATTATTAAGTTAAATACATATGGTATTATTTATAAACTTAAATATGGAATTTATACAATAGGATGATTATTAGTATTTAATTATATATTTACTAATATTTTAATTGATATTATATAAAATAATATATCAATGCTCGTCAATTTTTTATTTATTGTGTTCTAATTCATGTGTTGACGTCGCCTCGTAACGTACCAATTTTTCATTTTTGCTCGTGTAAGGATTTAAACAAGGGACGATATATGCGTGGTCAACGTAGAGCAATATTCTGCTTATAGTCCTTCAAGCAACGTCGAGGTGTCCCTTCCTAATTAAATTTAATATTTTGAACATATTGATGCAGCTCATTTAATGATCGGCGAATATTTTGAATAATTTTTTCTAGCGTCATATATGCTTGCTAACAAAGTGTTGCTCGATCAAGCTGCATACAAACAATTTCTATTGGGTATATTTTAATGTCCTAAATACATTAGAAAATGTTTAATCATTTCATTATGATCGAGATACTCAAATCTTTGTCATGAATGATTTCTTGTTGACCAACAATAATCGATCACAGTCTTCGTTGCTTGCATTGACCGTGCCATATATGTAGAGGTCAACACGTCCGTATGCGCATCCAAATAGATTAGAGCTTGATGACATGCTATGATAATGCTAACCAAAAAAAAAAACCCTTCTTATTCTTAGACTTAATAGGCTTAATTGCTTCTTTGAACTTGGGACATATTTGATTGGGGCCTTCAGATGGCAAAATAAGTGTTAAGTAGAGTTGAGCAGTTAGGCTTATGAAAAAAATAAATTAATGTAAGTTTACATTAAACTAAGAAAAGTATTTAATTCTAGTTTAGCTTAAGCTTTTTTTTTTAATTAAAGTTAGGTAACACTAAAGTTATATTTTACCTAACACTAAAGTTATAGTTTACCTAATGCTTTTTCCATATCAGATTAGTTATCCCCCCCATAATTTATATATATAACTTTTTAGCATTGGATATATTTAGACAATTTCATCTTATGCTTTATTATATATATATATATATATATTTCACATAACAAATATTTCACTTTCTTTTTAGGATTATTTTCATAAATTGTCCATATCTAAAAATGCATGTTATACTTAACTTTACAAATATATCATGATTATTTCTTATGTTGACAACTTAAGGAAAATGCCCGCAAAAGTATTTTTCATATTGGCAAGCAAGCATTTTCACGCGTGGAGCTTTTCTATTAAGTGGAAGGATTTTCTGGAATTATTTTGTTCATGCTTTTTTTGTTTTGTTTTTGTTAAGTTTATTTCATCTCAGCAGTTAAGTAAATCAAGTAGAGAGCATTCTCTAACTCATCATTCTAAATCTTTGTTCGGTTCCCTAAAAGCAAGACCGCACTCATGCATATAAGTGGTATAATGCTAATGAGATTATTCTTCTAAAGAAAATAAAGGTTGGCTTCTTTGAAGCTACCAACATAGCTAGATTCTATTTGTATTGTTTCTCTTATTCTTATATTTGTTGGTAAATCACATCATAGTCCAACATTATAAAAAAATTCTCAATATTCTTGATCTCAAATTTGATTTTTTAGCTCATTGTCAAAAACATCTTTAGCTCAATTATTCTTTTGCAGAGCAATTTTGTTTACAGAAGCAGTCTTGTCTGAGGTACATTTCAACTTATTGGTATATTCTTCCCATATTTCAATCCTGTCTCCTAATAAGTTATAAAGTTGTATCACTTCTTTTAATTGCATAAATGAAAGGTTATCATAATTGGAGTCATATTCTTAAAAAGGATGCATTAATGACATAATTTAAATGAAAAATAGCAAAGAAGTTAGAAGTAGCAATTTACAAGGAAACTAAATTTTGGTGAGACCTTATGAAGTTAAATGCATTAAGATCTTGCGTAATTCTTTTGTAATTGATGGGGAAGGAAAAGTGAAATGCATCACCATGTATATATCTATAGATAGCAACACGTTCTGCCCAATGCACATAATTTTGGAAATATTAGTTATATCTATCAAGAAATTGATGTTCAAAGTTTATTTTTGATGGTAAAATATTGAAAAAGCTATAAATCCTCAAATAGATTGTTTGCTTGAACATGCATTAAATATAATCATTTTGCTTATAAGAAAGTCTCTTATCATCATTGACAATTCTTTTCTATGGGGGCTATTAAATTGATGATATTTTTCATTTATGCAATAGGAATTGTAGTTTACCTTCTCTCTCGTAATTTCATTTATTTGCTTCTTCTTATTTATACTATCATTGTCTTGACCCAATGGTGAAACCAAAGTAAATCCCATCTCTCACATTCAAATTCTTTCGATCTTCAAGATCTAGAACTCTCTTGCATATCTCCATTGTTTACTTAATGTGTACTATACGAGTAATTTAAGTGTCTAAATTTATTTATGTTCTCTACTTTATATTAAGATATTATCCTAGGTAAATCATAATGTTTCTCAAGATTCTTTTATGGATGATGATGGAGAGACTGGCGAGCAAGATGGAATGAGCCACATGCGATCTAGCGCTTGCCAAAAGAACACAGAAATTTTTATGATCTAAATCTGTAAACCGAAGTTGATTAGAAAACGACCACTGACAATTTACTTGGCTATTAAAGATGTTATGCTTGGTGCAATCTTGTGTTTAAATTGATGATTTGTCTTTTCATTCACAAATTTCATAATCTGTTGGCTTTGTATTATTCGTGATGACAGAAATGTAGCTATCCAATTAATCGCTATCGTGCTTGTTCACAAGATAATATGATGAGTTTGGAATTTATATCCAAATTATCCTTCTATTGTTTTGATATTTTAATAAAATCATGTCTGGTGTATTGATTTTATATGATGAGAAAAATTGAGATTTTTTTGTCTTGCAATAATACTTTTAATAAAATATAATATAATTAAAATATTCATTATATGAATTTTTATTTCCCAATCCCCCTTCACACTGGTATCTAAATATATATATATATATATATATATCATAGTATTTTAATTAAGTTTTTAAGCTTCTAATCACTAGATAGAATAGGCGCGGACACTGATTTTTTTTAGTTACAGATGTACCTACCGCTATCATCTCTTAGGAGGCGCATCGCATGACTGCGTAACTAGTCCCTCAACACAATCTAACGGGGAGACACAACGTTTAAAATGGAGGAAACCCTGTCATAATTATTGTATATCCCACATGGTCATTTGCTTTCTCCTCACAACTTAACACTTCTTGGTCTCGAAAGATTTGAGGGCCAGCGGAACGTGCCACATCACTCATTTGTTTTATACCACGACTATATACCACTGTGGATGATTTATCCGCAAGAATAATTTCTCCTAGCTTAAGCTTTTTACCAAAATCCTTTGAAATACTTATTTTTATCAGTTTTTCTTCCAAAAAGAAAAGAAGTTAAAAAGAAGTTGATATCAGTTTGACCTGGAGTCTTCGCAGCCAAAAGACAACGCCGCGATCTAATGGTCTTTTCAGTGCCCGCGCAGCTTTCTGGGATAAATTGTTAGGAGCTAATGGTCTTACTGATTGCTTTCTTCTCGTGGATTACTCTTGGTAGTCGGTAAACTGCAGTCTTTCTATCAATATTCTTTCCCAGTACCCCCATCTTTACAGCCATTAGTTATTTGATCGCGACACATTTTTAGGGTTTTGGATTCTCTTACCTTCTTCTTCCCCTTTTTCGGAAGCCAATGTTTTGATTTCTGCTCGTATATCTGCGTTTATCAATTGATCAGCTTCGCTTATCGAGCTGTAAACTTGAATTATGCTTATTATTGTTTTTTTTTTTATTTTAATTATGCTTATTATTGCTTGAACACAAAAAAAAAGATCATTTTTTATATCAAGTTGTTTGATTGTTTTTGAATGATAAATCGCTACAAGTTCTCCCAGTTGAGCTGTTGTTTTGATAGTGTTTTTAAGCGATGTCCGTGTCCATAATGACCCCCCCCTGGTATATATGTTTCCTCTTGCTGTTGGTATAATAATATAGCTTATTCTGTCACGTATTGCTGTCTTTTTTTTCTTTAAATAATTTTCTGGCAGTTTTTTCCTCGGGTCTTGCAACTGTAATCAATTTATTAAGGTTTCGTTTGGTAATCTTTTTGACTGTTTTTGTGGTAGGAAAATTAGCCTGTCCGTTTGAATGACAGCTTCTGAATTTTTTTCTTAGAACATTGCTTAAAAAAAAAAAAAAAACATGATTGAAACTATGGATGAGAAAATTGTTTTTAACGGCCAAAAAAATAAAGCATAAAGCCACCCCAAACAGAAAGTAAGATTGTTGTTGCATCTTCAATTGTGTTCTATGTTATCTATCCTTGAGTGGTTAATCTGCTTGAGTTGGGAAAGCTAATATGATGTTAATCGTTTATTTGATATTGTTATTTTTTCTTTGCTCATTTTCATTTTTTATTTTGTAGGAGTTCATAGTTCTTTGCTTGCTTATTCGAGTAACATGATGGCATATTCTGAGCCAGTAGACATCTATGTTCATTCTGAGTTAGAACTCTGCGTCAAGGAAATCCTTTCTTGTATCAAACCCACGGTGGCTGATATTCAAAATCGAGAAATTGCCATTAATGAGCTTACAGATGCTATTCAGATGGACCATAGATTAAGCGGTAATTGCTATCTATTATTTTTTAAGCAACTTTTGGTGTGTACTCCTCATGTGAATGAACTAAGTTTATTAATTAAACCAAGCTAACTGTTTTAAAATCGTGTTTTGATACACTTGCGCAAACTACCCATTAGTATCAACACTTTTGAGATCTTCTGAACAACTTAAACATTTCTTGTTAACTATCTAGCTCTCCATGTCTATGACAAAAAATATAATGATATATTATTAAATAGAAGAGAACAAGCATATTTGAACAGCATTACAAAATATTTTTAATGAATTTAATAATATTTGCGTGCAAGTATTTTACCTTCCTTGAATCTAAATTTATGATCGTCCTCTAGACAATATACAAAATTTTAATTTATTAAACCTTCTTATCTAAAATTTATGTCAAATATATTAGAGATTATATAAATATAATACACTTATCAGAGAATGATTAGACAAATTAAAAAATGAATTCATATAAAAAATTAAAATTTATTGAGTGAACAATAAACAAAAACCATACGAAAAAATCTTATTTAAAATCTCAAAATTATTTAAAATTAAACAAAATTGTTGTACTTAGTTTAAAAAAATTAATTTAATTTAAGAATATTTTTTTAAAAAAATTGACCTAATTAATTTTTTGAAAAGAAAATTAACAATATAAAAATATGGTTTTCATAAACAACTAGGGGAGAGAAAGAGACTCACGGTTACAGGCTACTGATGCGAATGAGAGAACGTGAAAACTTGATCGAAGGCTAGGACGACCATGATAATGCCTAGACGAGGAGACGCAATTTTTTTTTTTTTTTTTTACTTTGGTCGCAGCTATTAGATTTTTAATCTATGATTATATAAAAAAATTATCAAAAATAAAATTAAAAAAAAAAACTCATCTGCATCCATCATGTTCCTGATGAATATTAGTCTAATATTTCTGCATTCTATAATTTAGGATAAAATTTACAAATGCAGGTGCTTCGGTCAAGCCTTTCGGATCTTTTATTTCAAACCTTTACAGTAGATGGGGTGATTTGGACATCTCTATTGATATGACCCAATATAGCGCTTCTTCTGGGAATAGAAGGCGCAAGCTAAATGCACTAGAAAATATAATGTGGGCTTTACAAAGAACTGGTATTCTCTTATACAGAGATTTCCTTTCCTGTTTAAACCTGTCTATTCTTGAGAATTATTGCTAAAGATCAATAGTGAGAAACATAAACAATGACTGATAGACCAATTAGAATTCCAAATATTTCAAAATTGCACTTTTTGTATGTAACTGAGACAATGTTCAAAAATATTTGATTTGCATGAGATTAGGATACTTAAAGTTCTAACTTTGTGAATTGAGTGAGCTTTGAAGCTCTAACTTTGTTAATCAACCAATGGTAACCCTCCATTTCTTAGCTATCTCTAGACCCCCCACACATCAAACCACATGCAGAAGGACAAAACTGGCGAATCAAGCAACGCGCGCGTTAATGCGACACGTCACTTGAAAGGTCAAACTACCTTCGATTGCCAGACGGACTGGGTCGTTGTAATTAGGACGTTGAATTTGCCCAAATGGAGACCCTTCACAGTCAAATCAGACGAGATCGGTCCAAAGGGATGACCGACACCCGAGATTGACGTGCAACATCGCCCAAACGATATGCAATCTTAGAATGGATTTCGTCGTTGTGTTCAGAACATCGTCGACACTAAAAAAACTATATTTTATTTGTTCAAATGGAATTTCCTGGTGAAGTGGTGCGAATCCCGAGGCGACGCTATGCAAATCAAGGAAGTTAGCACTCGACGTCGCTGAAAAGACGTCCAATCACGAAACAAACTTCTCCGTTGCATTGGAAACATCCTCAATATCAAAAAATGACAGCCAATCAGAACAATTAAAGATGTGCAAGGAAAGAAGCACACATCCTGAGGAAGCGATGCACAAACAGCGAAAAATGGCACGCAACATAGCCCAAATGATGTCCGATTACAAAATGGACTTCGCTGTCACGTTCGGAATTCAACAATAATTAAATTGATTACCAATTTGTTCAATTAATGTCGTGCAAGTAAATCGACGTGGGTCTCGATGCAACGTGCACAAATCAAGAAAATTAGCATGTGCTGTTGCTCAAAAATCATAAGATATTAGGGGTGTCAATTTTTGACACGACCCGAAACATGACCCGAGCCAGACCCGGAAAAATCCAGGTTAGGATCAACCCGAACTCGAAATGGGTCAGGTTCAGGTTCAACAAAATCAACCCGTTTTAAAAATAGGATCGGGTTTGGGTTGACCTAGCAACCCGAAATAGACACAAAAACTCCTATTTGACCCGAAAACTCAAGATTGACCCGTTTTTTACCCGAAAATTGAAGATTGACCTGATTTTTTACCCGAAAACTAGCAATTTAAGGTTAACTTCAGGTCATTCGTGTCGGGTCGGGTTCATGTTCGAAAACCTGACCCATTTTTAAAAACGGGTTGGGTTCGAGTTGACCCGAATAGTGCCGAATCAGTTCCAGGTTCAACCCGAACCCGACCCATTGACCCGAATTGACACCCCTATAAGACATGCACATATAATCAAATTTATGTCATTTAAATTTGAATTTAATTATACAATTATACAGGAAATAATTAAAGAAATTTAAATATACATATATTTGAAATTATTCTCTATATATTGATTGTTTTAACATAATTTTTTTTTTAAAATACAGATCTTTTTATTTTGAAGAAACATAGGGGTTATTTATTAAATTTGGCTTAATATTTAATTTGAGAATGAATCCTAGTGATATTCTTGACCAAACATCAGCTTTTTGTGAGCTGGAGTTATTTTCATATTTGTCCACCTTGACAATTTGTTGTGGAGGATGGATGGATTTTAATTTAAGTGATTAATAGTTGAATTTTAATTTTAAATATTTTAGATTTTTGTAATTTCTGGAGATTTTGAGTTTTCACATGCATTTAAGAATTTGATAGGTATTTGAAATATTTGGAATTGACCTCTCCGATTGAGATCTTTTGTCAATGCGGCAATCATCAGGGTATATGGGGTCATTTGGAAATATATGTATTTTGTAGAAGTTTGAGGGCATTTAAGAATATATGATCCCTTCCGGTTGATATTTATACTCAACACTGTCATCATCGGGGCATATAGGGTCATTGTATTTTGTTCATTGAACCTTGTCGACTTTGTTAGTTGCCGACAGAGGATCGGGTTCAAGTCGGTTGTATACTTTTATTAATGAATTTTTATTTTCATAGACCTTGAAGGCCTAACATGAACTATAAAACAAATATTTCAGCTAACAACATGATCGTATATTTATTTAATGGTTCGAACCGTGTCAACTCCTATCTACCTGCATAGAAGGATTGGGCTTGAACTTGGGCCTATCATTTGACCTGCACACCATTCTTAGACATCACGTGTAGTCACTAGTTGACTGAGTCAGCTTGACCCACACTTGGTCAAAACAGACCTAATTAATGAAATCATTGCAAGTGATTCAATCAAAACCCCCCAAGCATTCACAATTAATCCACTATATGATTCAAGTGCACTCCAACCTATAATAGGTCAACTCATCATTGAGTTGTCAATGACTTTATCAACTCTTAAACATGGTCAAACCTCACCATGTAAATACTCTTTCACTCATATAATATATCAAATCACTTGAAACCTTTGCAAACTACTCAACCAACAAGCCATGGACTCTTCACAATCCATCTCATCAACCATTGATTGAGTTGACTGGTCAAACTAGTCAACTCGTTGCTTAAAGAACTATTTCTATGGTCAACCTGACCTATTCAACAAATGTAGCCCAACCCATGTGTCCATCCAGCCATTTAGATGTATTCTAAGAATGGTTTGAGTGCCACCTCAGCTCCATTGACCGGTCAAACAATCAAACTAGAGCTCAAGTGAGCTCTAGTGGTCAACCCGACCAAACTAACTCACCCAACCCAAACCAAGCACATCTAGCTCACTCAAACTACTCCAGAACCTTCCTAGGAGCTAACCTAACCAAATCCAAGTCCTAGTTTGAGTCCCAACTGCTCTATGCTCTAGTGGTCCCCCCCCCCCCTCCATGTGGGAAGGGCATCTATCATTGTCATATGAGCAGTACATTCTCTGCTCCTATAACCATTTGGGACACATGTCCTCCATCCATGCATCTTCCCTGATGCATCCTAACCCTCTATTTTCCCTCCAACACATGGAATAGGCTAAGATAGATGGATTCCTTCATTCTAAGATAATTCCTATTCTACTCATTCTCCTAGAACTCTAGCATCTCGTTTTGACTCCCTAGAGCTTCCTATCCATCTTTCTGGTGATTTCTTGATGTTTGGAGCTTGCCGGAGATGGGATCAAGGGCAAACCGTAGTCAAGTTCCTCTAAACTTTTCAAAGTCCAGTTCTAGTGATCCTCCAAGCTCAGGGTCTTCAAGGGAACTAAACACGGATAATCTACAAGTTCAACAAGACCTGAATCATCTAAAGTCATTGAGTATATTAAGGTATATTTAAAACCCTAAGTTTTTTTATAGGTTCTTAAATAACCTCTCAAGTAATGCATCAAATGGCTTAAAAACTCTTCGCTAATCTTCTTTAGAACTTATTATATCTATGTCCAAAGTTTCAGCTTATTTTGTTCACTATTTCATGAAAATGAAATAAAAAAAGATTCTAGGGTTTTCGGAGTATGGAGGTTGAAGATGAGCTTGTGACCCTTCGATTCGTTCTCTTTGGATTGAATGGTCACGATCTCATCAAATCTGTGACATGGTTTGATCGCTCGGTTTAGTGAGATGATCAGATCTTAGTCTGTTTAGATCTTGATCGTTCATTCAAACCGTCGGAGTTATTTCAACCGTCGGATTGTCCTCAATCAGGATCAAATTGTGGGTTTGATCTTAGCCGTTGGATCAGCAGGTTGTTAGATATGACGGCTTATAGCGATGCCACACTAGATAAGTGAGGAGGGTCCGCTTGACCGCCACCATTTGAATTGATCTCGTCTCGATGCGTGGAAAACCCCGACTTGGTCAGCACCGTCGTTTGACTCATTAGTTAAAAATCATTTAAATAATTTAAAAAAAATGTTCAAAACTTCAAAAAATCATAAGAAATTCATTTTAAATCTATTTTATGAGTTTTTGGGCTCTATGGATTCATAATGAAAATCTCTTTATTTTAAAAATAATTTTAGTTAATTTTGATAAGTATATTTTCTATTATTTTAGTTATACTATAAACATATTTTTATTTTTAAATAAAAATATATAAATCTTCTTTGTCTGAATTTTGGCAGAGATAAAATAGGTTCTATTCCTAATCTTTTTTTTTTTTTTTTTAAGCTCATTTGATGTACTTTTGATTTATATTTGAATTTATGAAAGTTTAGGTTATGTTTTGACTTAAACTTTTAAAATTTCATATATAATTCAAGTCAATTCTTACAATTGCATGTTAGAATCCTATGGAATCAATGAGAGGTCTCATCTCATTGAAAAATGTGTTTAGATCATAGTCATGCATAGTCTAATCAAAATTTATTTTTAATAATACATTGCTTTTAATGAATAGTTGTCAAGCTATGCATGATCATGGTATCAAATTGAACTGAATTTTATTTGGAGATATTTGCTTGTGTCCCCAAGTCATTTCATTTCAATTTGATTCTTCTCTTTCTTGATAGTTAATTGTTTAAGTCATAGATCATCTAGTAACCTATAACTTCAATAATTTGCTATGAGATCTTTCCATAGGATATTAGGACATTAGTACACTTGCTCATGATTATTTTGTGGTGTGATTGTAATTAGTGTTCAAAGGGTTAGAAAAACTTGATTGCTATCCTATATCTTAGTGACACCACTAAGGATAATAACTAAGAGCCTTATCTTAATTAACTTAGATCAATATAGGAAGAACTACACACATCCTTTTTGAGATGAAACATAAACATAGAAAACTAGCTTCATATACCTTTTGATCAAATTCATCTTGATCTGACATTAATCAACCTTCAAACAACTATTAAATTTAGGTGACCCTTCTTTAAGGGTCTAAATTTTCAATAATCCAAATAAATCAAATAAAATTT